TTTTCTAACCATATCGGTTTTTCTTCAAAATCAAAAAAGTGTAAAAACAAATAAATCCTGTACATATAGTTGCTCTAAACTAAAAATCATATGCACTAACTAGCTTATTAATTATCTAAACATTAGCAAACAGATAAGAAATAAAAATAAAACACGTCGTATAGCAATGCGAATTCACACTCGACAATGTCATACGTATTGTTGTGTGTTTGTTTTTGCTATATTGGCTAGAGGTATAGGGGGAGGGTTGAGATCTCAAAACACATGTTTAACCCCGCTGCATTTGTGCGCCTGGCAGGAGCCTCTGGCCTTTGTTAGTCTTGTATGATTTTTAATTTTAGTTTCTTTTATATATATTTCGGAGTTTAGTATGACGTCCATTATCACTGAACTAGTATACATTTTTGTTTAGGGGCAAGCTGAAGCATGCCTCCGGGTGCGGGATTTTCGCGCTGCATTGAAGACCCATTGGTGGCCTTCGGCTGTTATCTGCTCTTTCGCCTGGTTGTTGTCTCTTTAACACATTCCTCATTTCCATTCTAAATTTTATACTCGGGAAAAGGTCACGTTCGGTACTTAGCAGTTCAGACGACGGAGATGGTAAAACACTATCTAAGACATGGTAAAAATATATGTTTAGATAGTTTGGACACAGACACATCGTGTAGATCAACCAATTCATGATGATGTCCATAAAATATAAGAGTGTCATCTTTAATCTTTCCTCCTTATAACTCTGTTAGAGAAGTGTCTGCACACTTCTGTATATATGTTAGCGGCAATAAGTGAAATTAGGCATTAAGCTTAAATCCTAGGTAATAAGCTAATGCCTAGGCATTAAGTTATTGCCTGAAATTTTCAGGCATTAAGATTATTTCCTGAAATCTGATGATGATTATTCAACCTATTGCCGAGCATAATTTTAGGCAATAAGTGAACTCCGGAATTTATGTATATTCGGTGATTTATTCTTGATATAAAGTAGTTTCTCAATTAAATTCCTAATAGTAATATCCATTCATTTGACAGATCTTCAAATTTTAGTATTTTCATATTCAAAACAGAATTAACTCGTACTTTTTTTTGGTATTACAAAAATAAAAAAGATTTAAAAAAAACTGATTGTATGAACATGATGACCTTTACAAATTGGTTAAACATAGAAACATGCTAAATCTGTATCCAATACAACAAGAGAGTGAGATTCTATAAAATGATTATAATAATTATTCGAAAATCATATTACACTTCACAAGTCGAGTTGGTTTAAACTGGTCAAAAGTAGTCAAAATTAAGATATGTTTTTCTGCTCACACCATTTTTCCATTTTTTTGGGATAAGTAAATTTTCTTCGTTAAAAATTTTGTTAAATACCCCATTCTTGTCTCTTTCACTTCTTTATCTAAATTATTAGCATTAAGTGACAATATGTCTATTAAGGACGAATTTCTTCAATCATTGCGGTGTAAATTCGAATCAGGGAAACAAGGAACATATGCCCTTTAGAAAAATACCATGATCTTTTGGCAAAGATTAAACTTTTGGAATCATCAGAAAAAGAAGGTCACAAAAGATAACTACAATTTAAAAAGGTATGACATTTTTACCATTATAGATTTCGAGATGTTGTTACTAAAGTCAAGGAGAATGATGAGAGAAATTTAAAAATGTATGTCTTCCTAAAGGAAATCTATTGTATTTTGGAAAAGGCACATAAAGAAACAGGACATGGCGGCAGAGACCGCATGACTAAACAACTAAATAATGGATATGCTAATATTTCCCGTGATGCTATTGAACTATTTCTTTCACTTTGGGAAAATTTTAATATATAAAAAAAAAAAACATTTAGGGAAAGGCGTAGTAGTGAAGCCCATTTTATCTGAAGACTTTAACAGTAGAGGACAAGTTGATTTGATGGATTTTCAATCAAACCCAGATAGAAACTATTAATTTCTTATGGTGTTCCAAGATCAACTTACAAAATTTTGTAACATTAAAGCTCTTACGTAAAAATGTGTCCAGAGGTTGCTTTTAACCTAATAATATGTGGAACTACTGTTAGTAAAGGGGGGTACGGTTTGAAGGTGTAATGTCCAAATTGTACGATTGATACCAACAGAGTTCGCCATTGTTATTGAGCTATGGAAGCAAGCACACACTATGATAGCCAGAAGCAAAAAAGAACTAGTTACACAAGAAGTTGGTCAAACAGTGGCCGTACCAATACCAGTCTTTTTTCGGAGGTCAAGGATTTTTCAAATGTGCATGTAAATCCAAATGTTTAAATAACCAATGCAACTGCTAAAAAAACCGGGAGACAGTGCAAAAGTCAGTGCCACAGTTCCACAACTTGTAGTAACAAATGATTTTAACACAAATTTCCATCAAGTTACATATTTTTAAAGTATTATTTGATGAGTTATAATAATTTATATTTTAGTGATTTCATTTCCGTTAGATGACATTTTAAACTTCAGTTCTCATAATGTTATTATGTAGCAATTTTTTTTTATCTAAATGAATAACTGTCTTTTATTTACTCGCAATTATATTTTAGGCATTAAGCTTAATGCCTGCACACATTTTCTAGGATTTAAGACTAATGTCTAACATCATTTAGGCAATAGACTTACTGCCTAGGTGTTAGCCTATTGCCTAGGATTTAAGCTTATTGCCTAATTTCACTTATTGCCGATATCTATTATGATAGATTTTAATGTGAAGTCGTCTTTTTGTATCATATTGAGGAAAATATCATGGTATGAAGCAGTCCTTCTAGTATCTAAAGTATCCTTAATTTCAAGTTTACTGGAATGAATGAAATATAAGTACTGACTAAAATATGGGTTATGCAGTGATAGAACATAATTTATATATCTAAGAGTAAAATTAAAGAATTTCGGAAGATGCTTCTTCTTTTTGTCTTTTAGAAGGTAATAAATGAATTCTGACTTTATACGATTACAAAAACAAATCGGTCAGTAGGGCTGCACAATAAGTACTCATTGGAATATCGAATGTTATAATATCAATCCTCTAAATTCAGCAAATTGATTGTCAATCAAAAAGTCCAGTATTTTGATATTATCATATTCAGTATAATTTCTGATAGAATCAGTGTGGTTCTTCACAAAATAAGAATTAGTATAACCAATACCAAGAAATGTATGATGATGATGGGAGTTTTTAAAGACCTTGACTGGCTATACAGCCATCGCAGGGTCGGTCAAGAAATGAATACGATTCTCATTTTTATAGAAAAAGCCCTGTTTAATGAGATGGAGAAGTCGATCTTGCAATTGAGAATGGGGGAATAGTAGGGTTAAGCGTAGAAACATTCAAAGATCAAAAGTTTTAATGTTGCTGTAAAATTGCAGAGATGGTGGTCTAAGATTTAACAGTAGATCTTTAGATTTTTTTCAGAATCCACATCTGATTGACACCACTGGTGGAATATATGTCATCACAATATTTTTGAAAGCCATCTTTCACTGTAGAAAGAATGGTCGTCAGCACTTTAGAAAGATGTTAAGTTGATCAAGATGATGATTCGGCTATGTATTGATCTTTATAAGGAGTTTTGTGAACCTTTGGTATCAAGTATAATGCCGGTAGATTTTCTTCGTTTTCTTTAAATTAATGTTAAAACCAAAAAAAAGAGGGACAAATTTGTGATTTTTTAAAATTGCATCCTTTGTAAATGATTATTAAGATGATACCGAATATGTAGGATTACCAGTTTTGCTGTTTATTCCAAGCTCTTTGTGAGACATAGCAAGTATTTTTTTTCATTTGAGGACAATATTATCGGCGGCGTTCCCTGTTGGAACAAAGACGTATTTTTCATGCAGAGAGGATATATCTTTCACAACCTCCGGGATCTTGAATGGTTAGAAACCCTTATCATGACGTGCTCATAATACATCATAGTTTCTAAATGCATGATCGAATAGCTTTGATCACTTTAGACAAAGTGTCCAGTTCTGGTTCATCTGGCTCGCGGTTCAACCATTTTATGGCATAGTCTTCAACTGTATCCATCAGTAACCTGAAGTTCTTTTTCAGATTGATGGGTAGGGTAATTCTATATTCTGGTCCCTTGACTAACAACTCTCTTAGTTGTTCATTGGTTACGATGACAAGGTCGCCAGTAATAACATGACCAGTTGTACTTTAATTGTATTATTACGATGGACATGAATTATCATAAGGTTTAAATTGCATATCTTTGAGGTGAAAGGCTTCAAAAACCCTCTGGTGGTTGAAAATCATGAATGCAATAGACTTGGTGTAAGTATATAAAATAACAGATGTAGCTTTATTTTTGAGGTAATCAGGTATAGTTTTTTTGTACAGATGTCTTGTTAAAAATATTGCTTATGTTGATAGCTTTTAAGGGTCTAGACACAATACCTACGCCATCAATTTTGTCATTGCATCCATAGGGAATGGCTGTTCCCAATTTCTCTTATCCAAAAGGTTTTTTTTTGTAGTCGTTATGGTGTTATACAATGTCCTATGCAATACAATGTGTTTTCGGGTCTTCTCATTTACACGCATATATTTGGAAATCCAAATATTTGTATTTAATAGTTCTAAGTTGTTTAAATGATTCATGTATCTAATGTTCATGTTGGTAAACATTGAAAAGTGACACATGATCACAACGGAATATGATTTGGAAATGCTGTTCTTCACTCAGCGAAATTATGCCTTGACTACTTTGCAAATCACACTATCTTGTATAAAATGTAACATTCAAAATTCGAGTAATATATGTCTTTGTCAAATTTATCCAAATCTGGAAAGATGTTTAATAAGAAGACAAACTTCTTTGGAGCAGTCTACTAATAAGAAACATGGTAATAAATATAAGTTTAGCAATGTGTGGCACATCACCTAGTAACCGGTTCAATCTTTGATATTCTATGTTAGATGTTCAATTGATAATATACTATATATCTTCTTTTTTCGATTTAATATATTTTATCTTCCAGGCTTTTATGATTAGGCAAATATCATTGAGTTTGATGACATGGTTCAGTTTTTGGACGCTCTTTGAAATTGTGATGTACAGTATGTTGACTGCTTCGGTATTTCTTCGGTTAATCTTGTCCGCTGAGATTTTCTACCACGCACGAATGACTTATGCAATAACATTGGGGTTATTTATTATCAACAGCATGCAATTTTTTCTTGTCTCTAAACACATTGGACCAAAAGTTATCATGATTGGAAGAATGGTAAGTTTCATTTACCCATAATTCGAAAACAGATTAAAATATAATTAGTGCAAAGTTATATGTAAAATATTGTGTTGTAATACATTTGCTTGAAATATTATGAAGTTTGTTTTTTATTTGATGTACTATTTTGATATGAGATAAAAAATATACATTTAAGTTGGAAATGTTATCTGTGTAATTTATATATGTTTTTTGTAAAAAAAAAAAAGCAAAGAAAGCAACAACAAAAAGGCACAGTAGAAAAAATCATTGTTTTTGAAGAAACAAACTGTTCGAGTTTGATTAGTAAATCACTTGAGTATGATTCAGACCTTTTGCCGAGTATAGTTCAGACATTCAAAACGGGAAAATTACAGGTAGAGAATAAATAACATGTTTCAGTAAAACACAGTGCAGTCGAGTACAAATACTGCCCATAATACAGCCAGTGTTTACCAGGACCATTAAAACTAATCAATACTACATTCGATGGTAAAATACATCAATACTTTATATCATCATCATCATCATCATCATCATCATCATCATCATCATCATCATCATCATCATCATCATTATCATCATCATCATCATCATCATCATCATCATCATCATCATCATCATCACCATCGTCATCATTATTTTACAATTTCATAAAGCTTTATTTACACATACTTTCGTTTCAGATGTTCGACATTGTATTCTTTCTCTTAATATTTGCTGTGTTTCTATTTGGTTTTGGTGTTATTTACCAATCAACGATGTATCCAAATTCTACACCCAGCTTTCAACTGTTCAAGGAAATCATATATATGCCATACTGGCAGTTATATGGAGAATTGTTCCTAGATCAATTTGAAGGTAACACAGATATACAGTCCATACATTTCATTTAGATACATAACTCTCGATACCTCAATTATGGTAGTGAAATGTTATTCCCACAATGTATCATTAGCTCAATAGTCAGTGCTTTGGTACTGACATGATTTATAATATATATATAAATATATATATTAGTCTGAAATTACACCTGACATATTTTTGTCCGTCCCTCAGCGGGATTCGAACTCACACCTTTGATACACTACAGCAGCAATCGCTTAGCCTCATGTCCAGCGCTCTAGACCACTCGACCACATCCGATAGTTTGTTGCGTCTCTTTCAAAATACATAGCTCTAAACGTTTCTATTTTTTCTAATCATTCTTAGGTTTTTAATTTTTGGATTTAAGCTTTTCTGATGAGGGTTAATTCTTAAAATAGTTTGGACACATATTATTTAAGAAGTTATGATTATGACCAGGTTAGTTATATCGTAAGTTGTTTGCGTGAGTGTATTTATATCTATTTACTCGCAAATTACTATATGTATACAAATTAAACAAAACACTACAACGTATGACAAACTTGAGATTTAAGTGTACAAAAACTCTTTTTAAATACAAATCGACATATACTCAGATTTCATATCACTGTTTTTTTTTTCTTAAAATGTCCTGTACCAAGACAGGAATATGGTTGTTATAAAATAATCCGTGTCTATGTATGTTGGCGTTTGTTTTTGTAGCAGTTTAGTGTTTCTGTTATTCCGTTGTTTTTCATCTTAAAGTTGATGTTTTTCCTTCGGTTTTGGTTTGTGACTCGAATTTGTTTTCCATTAATCGATTATTGACTACTTAACAGCGATATACTACTGTAGCCTTTATTAATGTCGTTTTCGAAAATGTATATGCTAGCTGCAGTCAAGTTACTAAAATGTTCTTTTGCGAGGGGTTTATTTTACCAAAGGAATTAATACTGCCAAATCACGATCATTATTACCTGTGGTACATTTAACACATTTAATGAGTTATTTCAGCCTTTTATTACAGCCGTTTGCTAATTTTGATTTCGAGAACAGTCGTTATTCCGTATTCAGTGTGCATCTATACGACCTAACATGTTTTTGCACTCTTACTAAGCAAACCTCCTAAACAACGTTTGAAAGACTAACAGAATAAGACATTCCCTTTTAGATATATTGATGGTGTCCTTTCACTCAAAACATCATATATCAGTAAGTGCTTTCATCTCATATATCCTAGTGAATAAAATTTGGGATAGTACCAAAAACCAATTGGTTGCTTTATCCCTTGATATTTTACTTTATATTGATACGTATAGATGATCGTTATAGATTATCGTTGATCATCTCGACGAGATTGATTTTATTGCTTGAGCCGGTACGGCGAAAGTGAGAAAAGCAATAGAGTTGAGATGACCAATGATAATCTGTTTATCGCTATTTTACATATGACGACGTTGTTAATTTCATTGACAACGGGCACCTGTGCCCCTTTGTTTCTAGCGATAATTTTTCATATCACTCAACTGTGCTGAGAAAGGAAATTATCAGTCAGTAAGATCAAAGGAACATTTCGTAAAATAGCGATAAATATATTAAACATGACGATTTCAACCTTCTCGTTGCCAATTATCAGCATTAACATACCATTTGCTGAATCTAATGTCTTTTACATATTAACAATACACATACTTCTTTTTCGGGGTATCTGTCTGTCTTGAATTTAATTTGAATTGACGTTATTTGTACTGTCACCATCACCAACTGTTTGACCTTTACGATGTGTCTGTTTCTCAACTCAATTTTTTTCGAGGTCTTATTTAAAAAAAAGAACGCTTATGCTCAATAAATTCAACGGTTGCGATTTTCTCTATTCAAAAACTTATTCTACAATTGAAACCAATATGGAGGACACGTATAGTCAAAGACGTGCAAGGAGTTTTGCAAGACATATATTATAAAATAATTTAAAAACAATTATAAGAGCAAATCATCAACTACGCAATATCCATATTTTTAAATCAATATAAAAATACTATCATCTAGTCTTATTTTACCAGTACCATAAGCTATTTTGACATTACGTATGTCGTCATTGATTGGAAAGGTAAAAATTATTATAATATCCAAAATTTATTCAAACTTGTAACAGGTTAAAAAGGACAAAAGGTGTAGCCCCTATAGTAACAGGAGGTCAAAGAATCAAGAGCTTTTCGTATTATAGATATATTACTTTATTTGAAATAATTTTCAACATGTAACAGCAAATTTCACCAACATGGTATCGGTATGTTTATGCTTTTACCGCCGACATATTATTTTATTGAATTATCATTACATTTACGAATTCCTCGTATCATTTACGAAAATCACATTTCCGTCCCTTTGCCGTTTTGCATATAGAGGATGATAAAAATGTACCATCTGTTTACCGAATACCAAAACCTTTGAAACATGTTTATCATATAACAATCACCGGCTCGTCTAAATGTTCTACTAAATAGCCCTTCTTAGTAATTTTCGTCAAGAAAAGAACACATTCAAAGCAATTGTGAACGAGTTTACTCAACAAGCGGTTTAGTTATAGTTATCAAAGAAACCAGGATAATAATTTATTGTCTGTTATCTCCGTACTTTATTTTCAAATGTTATTGTTCGAGCGTAACTGATGAGTCCTTTGTAAACGAAACACGGATCTTGCGTAAATTTGTTTTAAGTCTGGTATCTGGTTTTAGTCTTTAGTTTATCAGTTCATCACTTTATGGAGTTGGATTTATTATGTGTTCAACCTTACAAAATCTAGGAACTAAAATAATAAATGCAGTGAAAGGAAACAGATATTGTTTATATGTTTGTGGAACAGACGTTTAAAAAAAATGAATATTCCTTGGAGTTCGGTATTTTAGTATTTTCTGTCTACCAATCAATTTCAAAATTGTGTCTTAAAAAACTAGGGATGTCTCCAAAATAAAAAAGACAGACGATGCTTCAAATCATATCTTGACATAAGCCTGCTTTATCGGACGATTGGTTTGTAAATTGACTATGAATACACTACAGAGTTATCGCATATAATCATATAAAAAAGTCAGCAATGATTTGATAGCAATATACATCTGTATCTATTTTTTAAAAGGAAAAGAGCCATCTACTTGCACGGATGATGTTACACTATATCAAAATGGGACTATTGATAGATGTCCGGAGATTAACCAAATGAATACGGTAGTGCTTGGTGTTTACATGGTGGTAACACACATAATCCTTGTCAACATTCTCATTGCAATGTTTTCGTAAGTATAATGACTGCCTGTCGTTAAGATGTAGACGTCGTAAATATGTTGTAATTTATTGTCTTACCTTGCCTCTTGATTAATTGCATAGTAATGGTCTATGTTGATTACATTTCTTCGTGTTACTTGTAGAGTTCCGCTAAAACTAAATACTTTACAATGCATAATTAAGCGCATGTAAAATGTTAAACGTTCTGTATTAAATCTGAGCTTTTGTTTGATTTTATTTTCCTCGTGTAAGTTGTGCTCAATTATACATGTTCTTTTGATAATTTCTGTAAAAATAGAATTGTATTAGTACAATAATGTCAACTTTGATTCAGTTTTTATACTAACGTCAATTATACAGCCTAGCAACTTTTCAGTCAATGTGTTTAATACCTTGATATGAATCGTATTAACTTGACTCTCGGTTGTTTTATCATGTTTATCTGATAAAAATATACCTTTGAAATTATAACAAAACTTATGTTTTGAAACTCACACACATTTAATCCCGAGAGCCGTATTTGTTTTCGCTTGGTCGATTTATTGCTATTGAACGGCGGTTTACTACTGCTGCATATTTTAACCTTAGATTAAATATTTGACTTTGAAACTTTGAATCAAATTAAATCCAGAAAAGGACTTTAGACGCATAAATTTATATTGTGCTTTTATTTTTTTTACAACATTTTCTTTATATAGCAAAGCTACTTTTGAGCAATAAACCGTGCTAAGGTATATAGTTATAGATACATTGTGTAACTGGTAAGCATTGAAACCTTATTTTACCGTGTGCATTGTTCTAGCATAGTAGAATGATTACTTTGCACAAAAAATTATAAAGCAAAGGCATTTGTATATTGAAACTATTGTTTGCTTGAGAAATGTAAACGTTTGTATCTTGGTATTTGTTCAAAGAATGGTAATTTCCCAAATCTAGTATTTCTTTCTAGAAACATTACCCTTTTAAAAAAACATATGTTTCATATCAAATTGTCTTATGCAATAATGCCATTGCTTTATTTTATTAAAGGCATACATTTACAACAGTGCAAGACAACAACGAACTGGTTTGGAAATTTCACAGATTTTCACTCGTCCGGGAATATTATGATAGATCGTCATTGGTACCACCGTTAATTATTATCAGTCATCTGAAGAGGGCCTTTTTATCTATATGCAGTAAATGTACATGTGAATACAAAAAACAAGATAAGTTCAGTAAGTATTTTTTAATTTCTTATCGTCGTAAGACTTCTAGAAAATGAAAATAATGTTAATAAACATGATAAATGAAACATAATATCTTAAACTTTTTCCATCATCATACACGTCTCTAAATATTAATATCAATACCAGTAAAACAATTGGAGATGTTGTTGGAACCATTAAAGAGATTTATTCACTGAATGCTAATTGTCCGTCGATCCTGTTGTAGTAATATTGATTGTTTGGGTATTAATTAAAATATTTAATATTTAGATATTACAAAACAATGTAGTATTATGTCATTACTTCAATTTTAAATTGCTCAGCTGCTCGTTCTCATAACATCGTCGTCTGTGAATTAACTGGCGATTGCAGTTTTTTTTTTGTCTATTATCTTTGTATGCCAAAATAATTGTTTGATCTATAATTTGATAGATTGTGTCTGGTTTTCGATAGTACATATTTCTGCTGAGTCAGGATACATACGACGGGAGATGCAATAATTTTCAATATACGTTTCAATGATACATATGATAGGGATTTTGGATTAGATGTTTAAAATTAATGTCGTTTACATTTTTCACAATATCTAATAATAGAATAAACGATTGTAAATAGTTATCAAAGGTACCAGGCTTATAATTTGATATGCCAGACGCGCGTTTCGTCTACGACGCTCAGATCAAAATAGTTAGAAAGCCAAACAAGAAGAGCATTGCGAATCGAAAATTCCAAAACGTAGTGCTAAATACGGCTAAGGTAATCTATGCCTGGGATAAGAAAAGCCTTCGTATTTCAAATAATTCCTACTTTTGAAAACAGTTCATTTATAAAAATGACCATATAATTGATATTCATGTCAACACCGAAGTGCTGACTACTGGGCTGGTGATACCCTCTGGGACGATCGTAAAGTGATCGTCTAGTTAATTTGAAGTATTCATGATTTTTCGCACTTATGTTAAAAGTTACATTAATTTATTTTCACATGCAACTGCACTCATGACATAAGATTGAAACGTAGGACGGATATTTTAAATACAATCTGGCCTTGTAGGGTCACAATTTAGCAACCTTCTGACTAATCAAAAGGTGATTTCATGTTGTTTTTTCTCTTTTGATGAGTGAAAATTGCACGTTGTTTTTAAGTGACTGGGAGATTACGACGTACCAATGTCGATAGTATGTAGTTGCATATTCAATATCCGTCACAACCAAACGGATGCTAGCTGTGTAACGTACATAAATGACTATATCTCTATATCCCAGTTACGCCGTACACAGGAAAAAATTACAAAATGAATTTTTATATGAAGAACGTACTTTTTCAAATTATCAAATCATATGAAACACGTATGTTGAGAACCTATTATGAAAAACATACGTTTTGATCATATGATCAACATATGTTTATAAAATATCATGTCATCTGGGCTTTGGTGGATAGATGTCTCCTTTATTTGTACATCTATAGATAATCAGAAACTTCCCAAATCCCCGTCTTTCATACCAATCGATTAACCTGTCAATACTTTTTACCAAGGATCTGGAACAATTCCATAGCTAAAACATATACTGAACAGTTTGTGAAGAGCTTTCATCAGTATATCACTTTTCAGTATTTCATCAGGTAAATTGTCTGTTCATACTGCTTTGCCATTTTTTAAACACATTAGCGCACGTTTCGTTTCATCAAAAGAAATAGGTTTGTTCAATGCAGATGTGCTCGTGTTGTCAATATATGTCTCATTATTTACAGTGATGTTTTCATATTAACGCTCTAGTTGTAAATCAAGGTTTTTCAGTTGCTCAATAAATTCAGAATCGACTTTTGTATTTTCACTAGAGAACAGTTTGGAATACTCCTCTTTCCATCGCCAAGACTGAAACTCTCAATGTTTATCTGGGTTTTTCCTTGATCTAATTGACTGATTTTAAGCCAAAATTCTGTTGGAATGCCCCGATTGATTGATTTAATTCGATTCAGTCTTGGAGCTGTATATTTCCGTTCTTTTTGTCGCAGACGTTTATCAAATTGTCTGCGCTTTATTTTGAATATCTCCTTGCGTTTTGTTGTTGCTCGACGCTCATCCTGGTAACTCTAATAGTCTTTTTCTGCAATATTTACCTCATGAAGTAGATTTCGTAATTCGTTGTTCGTGTACGGCTTTGTGTTGCAGCTTTTACGTTTTTGTGTCCTTTGTCCAAGATCGTTGTATTCAAATACATTGTTCATTTTGTCATGAATTGCATTCAGTAGCGTGTCATAGCTTTGTTCAATGTAATGGTGATCGAGTTGTTATTCGACTACTTTGTATAAACAACGCATACATCGTTCGCTCTCGAATATATCATTTGGGATGTTCGTGATGTCCTATTTTCACATATTTTACATTAGTTGCTTTCAAAAATATGCGTTTTAGTTACTAATGTTGCTTGCTAACTTGTATAACTTCGATATTCCAAATAACAAAATGAACACTGTAACATTGAGTAATCTGGGACTCTTGATGTAATTCAATATTGTGATTGATCAACAAGTTCGACACAAGTGTTACCTCGAAATCGTTAAATGTATTCAACGGAGCATGCAGTCAGCGACAGATTTACCTAGAGGCGAAACGTACGTAAATTTGTCCTTTGAACTGTCTCCTGTTCCGTTCAACAGACAGCAATTTAAGTTATTTAAGAACTCCAACAGAAATACAGCAAACGCATTTTTATAGAAACAATTAAGCATCGTTCTGGTAGAGTACCGATAGAGTCAGTTAAGTCTTGGGAAAAGTAAAATCACAAAAATACTGAACTCGGGGGAAAATTCAAAACGGAAAGTCCCTAATCAAATGGCAAAATCAAAAGCTCATACACATCAAACGAATGGATAACAACTGTCATATTCCTGACTTGGTACAGGCATTTTCTTATGTAGAAAATGGTGGATTTCATTATATTGACAACGATGTGTAAATAAAACAAACAGACATAATAGGTAAAAATGTAAAAAAATGGGGTACAGTAGTCAACATTGTGTTATAATCTTAATCACTAAAAAGGCACGAAAAGGCATATAGACAAATCACATTTAGCAAAAATTAAAAGTCAAGAAAACAAAAATTTACCATAGAACAATAACACAATTACGGGATGTATAAATACAGAGCCACGTCATTGTATCAAATAAAGGCAACAGTAGTATACCGCTATTCGAAATTCATAAATCGATTGAGAAAAAAACAAATCCGGGTAACAAACTAAAACTGAGGGAAACACATCAAATATAAGAGGAGAACAACGACACAACAGAACCTCAACACTAAAATGCAACACACAAAGAAACGAACTATAATATAACAATGGCCATTTTCCTGACTTGGTACAGGACATTTTAAGAAAAAATGGTGGGTTGAACCTGGTATTGTGGCTAGCCAAACCTCCCGCTTTTATGACAATGTTAAATATAACATTAAAATGACAAGATTACATGACAGGACTACAATACTAATAAATGGGAGAACATACAGAACATAGACACACACAAATAATAGCTATCAAAAGTCCCAGGCTTATAATTTAATACGCCAGACGCGCGTTTCGTCTACATAAGACCCATCAGTGACCCATCAAAGAAACACAAAAAGGCATATAGACAAAGCACATTAGCAAAAATGAAAGACAAGAATACAATTTTTTTTTTGCAATAGCACAATTCCACAATGACGGGATTTGCAAGTAAAGAGTCACGTCATATGTATCAAAGAAACACAGGTAGACAAAGTACATATGTGATGTAGTTTCAAATTTTATAACCTATCAAATAAATTCCTTTAAAAAAAGTGCTACAGTTCTATTAAACCTGAAAATATTTAAATCATTCTAATGGGTTATTTAAAAATTCATTATAATCAGATGTAATTAGGATTACTTGTCAATGTAATTATTAATTTAATCAGATACTTTGAGAAATGTTGTAATCATAAATTTAATTCAATCGTACAATTGATAAAGTAATTGTAATTTAATCAATTACATTGAAAATAATCAGACCAATCTCTGTATGGTATCAGATCGCTTTCATTTGATTAAAGACACATGCAAACGAAAGTTCATCGGTTATTGTCTGCTAGGTCGCAACAAATAACAAACACAAAATAAATCTACAAGAATAACAACAATTTTCATTATGTACGCAATACAAGTTATAACGATTCAATTCTTTTACACATTTTTATTCATATAAATCAAAAGTGATAAAAGAAATATATAGTTTGTCGGGTGTGAAACTTGAATGCAGCAAAAGCGTACCTCGAATGACAATATCTTAAATTCCTACAACCGCCAAAAGTATAGCACGAAATATTTAAATTGACCTCATGCAAAAGCATGGGCAGTTCTAACTCAATCAATGAAAACATTTAACAAATGTTATACATTGAACTTGTGTATCAATTATAAACAAATACACGTAGTGATTTTTGCATACCATTTTACATAAATTTAATAAATTTATTTATATTTTAATTCATAAATACAAACGAACATAAATTATTTACAAAATAGACTCAACACATTTGTATATGATCAGCTCGCCTGACAGTGTGCAGAAAAGCTTCGAAAAACAAAGACAGGGCCAACCAAAGTACACAATTAAATTCCAATATTATTAAAAACGGATAATCGATTCTTCAACGAATCTTAAACATAACCGTATTTTGCTGTGTCATTATCGACCATGTTTTTTTAACAATCTGTCCGCTTCAACAGTCGCTGCAGCAGCCGATGCCCCTCCTAAACGGAAACTTTGCAGTCCAATTTGTTTACTATCTACGCCTTTATTCTGCAAACTTGAAAGTGGTATTTCCCGAACTCTCGGATATGACAACAGTCCTGTATATCTAATATTATAAGAATGATCAGATTTACAACATAACACAGATGGAGATATTTATTCATCAGATTTGTATGTAATACTATCTAATTTAAGTAATATACCTATATGGAGTTATTTCCTTTTT